TTCTGTGTTTTATTTCATGCACTAATTAAAGTTTGTTCGTATTACACCTAAAATATTTAATTACGTAATTTTTGAGACGAATATTTTTATAATTTTTTCTGTATAAAATATGTACTTTCTGAGTGGAAAAAAACACTCATCTTAGTAAAACTAACACTTTTAAAATGTTACATTTTTCTAAAATTATCAATAATATTTTATCTTTTACTAGTCCTATAATGATCTTCCACTGTATTTTTTTTAAAATTAAGTACCACTATTTTAAGTATTATAATTACTAAATGAATTTAAGCTAACATCTGTCTTGTGTTTATTATTTAATAATTACTACCTAATGTTCTAATAATTAATTTAAAGTTTAATATTTTTTGGTGACCCATATGTAGGTTTGGTTTTTAGAAGAATAATGTAAACGCTATTTATCACAATGTGCGCTTAATGTAAAAATATGTTTGAAGTCTTTTTGGAAAATTTACAAAATCAGTGACGTCAGAATAATAACTAGTATACTTGTATAAGTTATATTGTTATTTAGATAACGAGGAAAATTAATAATAGACTTGCATTCGTCGGTCGTTTTGAATCTATTAAATTTTAAGGCACGGCTTTTTTTATGTAATGTCGTGTAAATGTATACTAATTATTAATCTGTTTATAGTCAAAAAAAAAAAAACAATACTGTTCCAACCATAATCAACAGTATCAAGTTGTATTTTAATAAAATAATTTTAAAATAAGTTTCAATTCATAAAGACATAGAAATTTATTAGAAGTAAACGGAAATCTCGATGTTCTATTTAGCCTTATATCTCATAAATGAGATCACTCGTACTGTGTTTCTTTGATACGATTGTCTCTGAATACCATCATTTTATAATTATTTCTATTTATTCTCTATGACTAACTCTTGTTCTGATTAGTAAGTATCTACCTTGATGTTAGATCATTTTATCTTTGCATCAACTTCGACTATTTTATCTTCGTATCTCATGATCAAATTAACCGTCTCAGAGTCTAGTGTACGTTATAATTTAGGTTATTGATACTATTACGATAGGTACCGAAACTATATACCTCGTTATAATCGTTCTTAATCATATTCAACCCTACGTTCAATTGACCTATCTATGGACCTAGCTAGGTAGGTATCTAATGAAGTGTCTAATTTTTGCATGAAGTTTTAAAAGATTGAGTATAATATACTTTGCTTAGAATCAGAGGAACTTATAAACGAAATGCGAGGGGAAGAACAAAAACCCATTTTTTTTTTTTTTAAATTTAATGTTAATTTCAATTTTTAAAAAATCCATGTTTATTTTATACGTTACTTTCTCTAATTTTGACAATAAAGTGACTGAAAATATAGGTAGGAAAAGAATTTAAATAAATGATTTTAAGTTATTGAATATTATAGTCTCTTTGGTCCCTGAAAAACCCATATAAAATGTACAGTAAATGTCACAAGTAAAAGAATAATTATTATTTATGCGGCAGTTGACATAATTTAAAAAATAAATTACATCGCCGATCAATATTATGAGAATATAAAATATTATATCTATGTAACATATAGCGTATAAATTATATACGTTATACAAACGAGTAACGAATAGTTAAAATACATATTTTGTTGTTTTACTCGGTACCATATTTTACTAATGGTGTAATAATTTAAAGAATATGCATGCGCGTTAATTATATTATGATCGATGTTTCCATCTGTAAAAATAGGGACATACATTTTCCAATTCGGTAAGTTTTCAGCATAATATAGAACCGCCAATACTGCGGATGAATCATAAAACAAAATTTCTAGGATTTATCTGTAAATATTGCAAACGAATAAAATTGTGCAAATAATATGACGAGTGGGGAAAAAAAAACAAGTCATTTGTGATAATATATGCTGTATATTATATATTGTATATAGTGTATGGTAATGAAAATAGTTTTGCTTTTCCCCTGAATGAAATTCAAATAAAAGTAACCCGATTTTAGACAAAAAAAAAACAAAATAATATAAACATGTAAAACGGACAAACATTGCGATGGCTTTAATGAAACACATTTTCTCACGTGTTTAAAAAGCAGAAGAGTATACATAATTTACCAACATATTGTTATATTTAAATATAATTGGTAAGAAAATAATAATATACGACGTAACCGAAAAACGTTTCGTTTAATATTATTATTCTTTCGTTCCTGTTATTTCAGACGAAAATACGTATTTCACTAAACATCAGAGTCACAGAGTTACTGGAAGTTTATGAGACGATCTCGAGCGCCAAAAGCCACATCGGTTTTGTATGTAGTTTATAAATGTGGCTCCTCCTCAATGCGAATAAAATACATTAGTCGTTCATTTGCAATTGCCGTGCGAATTATGTGATTCGATTTCCTATACCGTAATTTAAACATGACAAAGGTAGGTACCTAATACTGGTTAGGTACTATATCGGTTCCAAATTCGCAATCTCATAATGAAGAGTTCAGGATTTTCTGTCCATTTACATTTCAAATTTTAAAACTCTGATCGTGTGTTTATTATTGATATTGTTTTATAAATCATGTAATAATATTTTAAATATTTGAATTTGTTTTTGTATAATATTTATAAAATTTAAATTTGTTTTGCCCTACTTTAATGTAGGTAATAAAACTAATACATTTGTTTTTACGCTAAGAAACTTTTTAAAAAAAATGTATCAAGCGTCCAGAACAATACTCCAGAAATATTCCAGAAATAATAGAAATTTTAATTTAGAATGATCGTTAACGTAAGATAAAATATATTTGACGTCATGACGGTTTTTGCGTTTTGTTCGCGATTCATTTACAGCCGTTCCTGAACTCGATTAAAGGCCAAACGTAGGAATAAGATCGTATTACGATTGCACGTCATGTACGTTTTGCAATATTTACAAACATGTAGGTTCCTATCGTAATTAGAGGCAGAACGTCGCCGATGATAAAACAAAAAAAAATAAAAACAAAAGCCGATGCTGTTGCTAGTGTGCCACTGTTGTAGGTGGGGAGTTGGGAAGGTAAAAGGTGGAACAAACAGAGTTAATTTAATTTATATCTGTATACAACGATAAATCATTGACGTGTGCGAAGTTGGCACCAAATGTGAAGGGTACCTACAGGGAAAAAACCAGAAAGTCACATTTTTTCCAAAATTACGAGATCAGTATCAAATAATTTGTATCGACGTACTGTATCTTTTATGCGATCAAAACATCGGAAAAACCAGATTAGTCGAAAGTAGTGAATGCCAAACATTTAGGCCTACAGGAAAAAAACAGATAGTCGATTTATAACTAGGTAAGTATTGGGTTAATATACGACTATGGCCTTGGTTAATAGTAATATAATATACAATTTTGATGTTTTGGTCACTATATTTCGAAGTTTAACATTAAACTTAATCCGATTTTTTTTTTTTTTTTTTAAAAAAAAATTGTTAAGTTTTTCTCAGTTTGAAAAAAAAAAATAACTTATCTGTTTTTCTTCCTATACCCTACATGTATAACATACTTTAGCCAACATCTCTAAAAGGTTATAATTTATTTCTCCACTTCTCATTTTTCAGATTTTCCGCCAATTTTCTGACTATTGGTATAAACATCTCATCTACCACAGTTACTGCATTCACTTATTTTTTCGTGAATTTTTAATGTTTTTATGTCATCGAATTTCAGACTCTATTAATAACATTGTTCAAGACATGTCAGTTCTTGGAAATTGTTAGAATCTGTTAGACTTGATGTCCCGAAATATACATTGTAGTATACCGACTTCACTGTGGCATGATATAATAAGACAAAGTTTCTGAAACCGATTTCATACACGTTTGTGTGAGAATTTTTAGAATTAGATATACAACAAAAAACTGGAGATTCTGAAGATTATAGTTGTTATTTTGCTAATTGAAAACAAGATTTTGATTGAAACGTTAAACAACATATATAATTCATTAAATTATTACGGAGAGTATAAGCACTAAGAACATGTTATTACCATTATATAATCTTTTTTACTACTCAGATAATTTAAAATTATAATAACTTCTATGAAGTTGTATTCTAATAATCATAATGATCTCAGTAATGTTATCATAAAATGAAAGTATAATGAAACCATTACACCTCATAAATTATTTTAGATAAAACTATACTTAATAAGTGTATCTTAAGTTAGGATACCTACCCGGATTACACCTATCCAGTAAGGCTATGGTTGCCTGGTTATCTAAACCAGAAAACGACATTAGGTTATTGAATAAACTATGAAAAATTATTCTGAAAAAAACTAATCCCTAAGATTAATCCTACTAATAATAAAGTTTTTTTTTCTTTGCATATTTTGAATATTTCAGCTTTTAAAATGTTCTTGCTTTAATTATATTATAGGTATATAGTAAAGGGTAAAATTTAGGTTAGTGTCAATATTTTATATATGATTTATCAACATTTCGGTTTAAAATATATCGCTGTAAAATTATATTCCCTATTTCGTTCGTTTACAGCAGTGCACCCGCATTGGATATTCCCGATAATATTATTATATGTGGTGTTGTACTGTTATCATCGTTTTAAGACAAACTATAATTTATCGATTCCACTGGGCAGCAACCATGAGCGATGGGTACGAAATTTGTTTAATGTCACCGGCGGCGTGATCGATCGCCAACTACAATACGGAATGGCCGAGTACAACAAAAGCGATTGCGATGATATAATAACGTCCGAGTAGATTTGCTCGCTGAAGTGACGAACAACAGCCGTCGGGTTTTATTTAACTTACCGCGCCGCCCCGATACACGGTTCAAGAAATTATCCCTAAGATATTTATCCAAGCATTAATATGCCATTATAATTAGATAGTTCACACGAGAAACCAGCCATGACATAATCATTCATAATTATATTTTATTGGAACATTATATTTTTCGAGACCCCACTCATATTCAGTGAAATCATCCACTCTTATGTTTGAGTAGAGAGAGTAATGGAATACTGTTCGATATAGAACTATAACTATGGAATCGCCGATTACTAACCGATCGCTATGGGATACTATTAATACACTGTGCACCTACTACCACAAAAGTAATGCCAAAACTCTTAAAGTGGAATGTTTTGATAATGGATTGAGAGAAACCAAATTTCAACACCAATATGTATATATTTAAACTAATACATGCACATATATTTTAACTTCAAAGCGTAGCGAGGGATCTGTTGGTTTTACCAGGATAAGTGTTTTTTTAAATTTTTTTTTTTCTGCCTATAACCAACTTTTCGAAAAGAAATCATGCTCCGATGTACAAAGTTTTTAATTTTTCTCAAAGAAAATTTTATCAAGTTGGTGCATTAAGCAGGTCAATTTTTTATTTTCCTAGGAGTTTTCAAAATAATTAAGAAAAATCGGAAATAATATTATAGGTAAAACGGACAATATTTAAGGCAGTGCGCCATGATGCCGATTTCATTGTTTTTAATATTTGCAAATTATGTTTTTACCAGAAATATTGCTCCAATAGAAAAACAACAAACATTTGTTTTGTTAAATATGTAATCTGGTTGGCGATCAAGAATGTTGTTTTTTAATAAATGAGCAAAACCAAAAAAAAAATTAATAAATTGAAAAAACAAACGTAAAAATGATTTACAACCTTACATTTTCCAATAATAAAATTCTGATAAAAGTTAATGTTTTCCGAGGTAGTGAGTGCCTTATGTTATGTTGATCACCCTGTATATCTGTACCTTATCTTGAATCGACCGTTACGATGGTTTAATAATATTATACTCGAAAACGCAATAAAACCGCGAGAACAATGTCGCAATCGGCTGGTCCCGTCATTTTTGTGATGAGGGTGGCTGTATAGGGTGTCTGTATTACAAACGCTTGGCTGTATGTCCTCTCACCATTATAACAAGAGTCCGATAACGGTCCCTTTGAATTTCCATTACTATACGGTCTACGCGAATACTGTCCCGTGAGACTTTGCGAAATAAAATCGAATTCCGCGTTTCGCAATGTAGTATGTACGTATAGGTATGCGGCAAAGTTCGTCGACACAGATTTGATGGTTCGATGCCGTCGGGAAATGTATATAGTTTTACACTCGGTTTTATATCAATCTGTGAGATTTGTGTTGTTCGATACCCCATTATCTTATGATGAGAAAAAAATATATTAGAAACAAATGTGGAAATACTACACGCTATCATAGGCTAGTGCAATTTTAGTTGAGAAAGTAGAATATACATATTTTAATTTAGTTTATGTACGACTTTACATACAATAATCAATCATAATACATAAAAAACGGTTCCGAGTGAAATAGTATTTGTTGTGTTTTTTTCGTTGTTTCCAGTGTATTTCTTGCGAAAATCAACTGAAATCAAAAAAACTATAAAAAGAAACTAGGTGATATTTTGTTAAAATATCGACAAATATTTTAAGTTAGTTAAACTTGTTTTAAAATTCCAAGATTTATTATTTTTATAAAAATTTGAACTTTAGATATACACTTATAAAAAAAAAAAACTAATAACAACAACAAATTAAATAATTTGACCTTTTGTTGAAAATCATCAAAATGATTTTAATATTTTGCTGCATTTGGAAAAAAATAATATAAGTATTCGTTGACTTCTATGATTATTTTGAGCTGAATTATAACAAGAAAGTAAGAATCAGAAATATATATAATTAAAATCAATGTGTCTCACTTTTTATTTTCTAAAATAAAATATTTGATTACATTAGCAATACTTAGATTTAAAAAAAAAAAAAAAAAAACATTTATACTATTTTGGTTTTCATTTTATATTATATCACCGCTCCAATTCTTTTTCGTCTACGAACACAAATAGTTTTAAAGAAATACAAAAAGTACTTTTTGTAAAAAAAACTAATAATTTTGAAAATGTTTTCAAATAAAGAACCACCAAGCGAAAAGTCTTTTGAGGTATATCATGAAAAAGTTTGAGCATTTTTTATAACCGAAAAATAAAAAAAAAAAATTGTAAAACTAATAAGATAGCTTCTTCATTACTAATATTCAGGATCTAAAAAGCAAACGTTTTTATTATTGTAAGAATCGTATAGGTTAACCAAAAATTAGAGTTGTCTAAAACTAATGACCGTTTAGTAGATTAATAATAATAATTATTAATTATTTTTATTGTTTTAAACGGTTTATGCCATGAAACTATACAATAATGAACTCGCATTCGTTTGAATAGTTTATAAAAAATCTATTGTATCATAATTGAAACTTTTTCGAGGAAGTAAGAAACTAACCTATGTATTTGTGTTATGGTGTTATAAGAATAATTATTTTTCAAACTACTTTGCGAAAACTTTAAGGTTCTTACTCGTATAATAAAATATCGTTATATTGTTTATTTATGAAAATTTTCGATTTACTTATTTCAAATTTAAATAGTCTTAAGAGAAAACTTATTAATAACTTTCTACGTGTAAAATTATTTGCATTTCAGGTTGATATTTAAATATGATGTAAAATTTGTATAATTTAGTGCTTTTATAAATGCTAATATCTTGTTAGACTGTAAGCATATATTAGACTAGAAATGATGACAAAACTCGAGAATAAGAACAATATATATTCCCAATGTCACCGAAACCAGCAGTCAAAGATGAGAATTGTCTACCATTTTTAATGGGTGGGTGATGGTGTATCCTTTATGCGTATCAGAGTCATATTTTTTATCCAATTGATATGTATGGAATATTAATTTAGAGTGTTGTATAGGAATTTACTTTGTAATCGAGGGTGGTGGTCTATATAACTTTTTACATGACCGCCTTCCTAAAATATAGTTGGGTAGATAAATATGCTGAAGATTGAAAAATATAAACTCAAAACAAGAATAGATAACAATAAAAATATTAAGTAACGTTGATGTAAAATAACAGAAGTATCCGATGCTCTAAATATGATATAAAAGCCATAAAAATAGCACAAGAATATTTGAAAATTATTTTATTCGTAATATTTGGATAACGGTTAGTAAATAGTTTTTCATTAGCCATTATAATAAATATAATGTAAATTACCTAGCCATTATTTATGATGCTATCATTTTAAGTGTATAAAAATTCGAGTATGCTATTAGCTTTTGGATGTAAAATATTAGATATTTTAGAGTGATAATCTCTCACTGTAAATTAATCGCCTAATGTTTGTATAAACAAATTAAGCGTCAAAATAACGTGGTCTCAAAAATAAAAACCAAAAGTATAGTTTTCAGCTCATTTGAGTTAATATCACTGTAATCATATCTACCAATAAAAATAAAAATAAAACGTTATAAGATAAAACATAAAATATTTAAAAACTTGGTGGATGTTTTAAAACTTGAAAATGTTCGAATAATTTTAATACTTAACAAATATTTTAACTAATAAATCAGTAAGATGCCGATAATAATTTATCTTATATTTTTTTGTATAGGATATGTTCGAATTATTACACCTACTAGAGTCAAATTGTAAATAATATACAAGTCAAACGATCATACATAGTTAGGGGTTTGTAATCGTAGTAAATAACCGAATACAAAAATGTATAACTATAAAAAAAAAAATTTTAGCGAAAGAAAGTTCCTGAAAAGGTTTTTTTTCACACCTTTTATACTTACTAGGTATATTATTATTATTTTAAAAATAAACTTATCATATGGATAATGTACACGTACTATAAAATGTATGAGATTATATTCATAAGTTATTTATGGTTCATTGTTTTTTAAAAAAATCACGAAACTACCAGTGAAGAAAGTCACTTGTGAATTTGCAGTTTTATGCAGCAAGATACCCAAGTACAGGAAAAATTAAATATTTATAGTCCTTTTTGACCCCACTAAACTTCAAATGAACAATATAATTATATTACACGAGGTACATAAATATAACCGCGGAATAAGTGTTTTTACTTTGACGAATATGTACATATTTCCATCACAGGAATAGGTACTACTAAATTACAATTAAATCTGCGATAAATAGATTTTTTATCACAATGCAGCTATTTTAAGTAAAATTGATTTATACATTTCCAGTCATTAATTTATTGTAAGTCATATCGTTTATTATTTTATTTACACTATTTTCACTATTTTACTTTTATATAAAGCACTATAAATACTTAAAAATTTTTGATTTTCAAATACCGACCATACTCCCTTTAATGTTCAAACAAGATTCAAAATTTATATGAATTGTATTTTTAGTATAGCAAAAAGTGGTAATTATGTGAACATTGTGTTCAAACCAAGATAGTTAATGGTTCAAAAAATACAACAGAATACAAAATTTATTGAAAACCTTCCAGGAAAATCGTTGTACTACAAAAAAAAAAAAAAAATCACCCTGTACGTTGGAATAGTTTTTAATTATTTCTGTCAAAAGACTTGCGATTATTAATAAAAATTAATCAAAAATTCAGACACGTGATTGAAAAAAAAACCCTTTTAAAATAACGGGTCACCACTGACAGTATTTCAAACAAAGTTGTTATGCAAATATATTTAAATATGAACAACTGCACAGATCGAGTAACACACATCGTGTATTGCATATGAGTATGTTTTCATAAATAATTAGCACAAAGATTTGCAAACCAAATTCGTTTTCGAAATAATTTCAAACCGTTTTGCTATAACTACCTATACTGCAAATATTCTTGGAAGTTCCTCTTGGTAACACAACCATCTGTTGTGTATTATTATAATATTTTCACGACAATACACAGTGTGTTCATGTTTTCAGGTAACACTCAATATTACTAGTACAAACTATTAATGAATTGGAAACTAATTATTTGCAAGCATCATAAAATAACGCACATTTTATAATAATTTATTATTATTAATAACATATGTTCTAAATTGTTTGAAAAATCGATAAAATTACATTTTTCAAATTAGATCAAATTAGCTGAATCTCGTGTCATTTTTTAAATATAAAATAAAATAAAATTAGTAATAGTTTCTTTAAAAAATAGAATTATGTGAATGTCAATAATAGGTTTTGCTATTAAAAAAAAAAATATATATATATATATATTGCGCATGGGTTCAAATAAAACGCTATCAAATTGAAATTTATCCTAAAGTGTATATTACAATACCACCAATCACCTCCCAAAAACGAATTAAAACCTACGGTCATTCAACCAAAGATTTTTATTAATTTGTATACTACAACGTAAATGATAATTACGAAAAC